GCAGCATGGCCTATTTTTCTATTGGGGCCTTGTCTGAACACGTCCTTAACTAATAGCATAGATAAAACATACTCCCAATAGCTTTGACTATTAATAATGCTTGTCATGCTGTTCATGCTGTTTACTCCAATCAATGTGGATCTCACTGTGTTCTGAAGGGTTACAACATTTGGCGAAGTTGCAGAAGCAGGTATTGACCCTATATATGGTGGGAGCAGAAAATATCCAAATCAAGTGAGGGTTGGTCTCTTCTAGAGTACATTTTCAAAATCTAATTTGACTTTAATTCTACCAAAAGGGGCTGCTCATCCACCAATCCTTTAGAGCTTATTTAAAAGTGTACTTAATTCTGAGAGATAGGTATAGAAAATTAACGCCAATGGATTAACTCCCATCACTACGGCTAATCCACCGTTTCGACAAAAATTTCTCAACTCCGTCTACCTATCTCGACTATCGTGTACATGTAAAAAAAGGTTTACATTATCTTGCTACTTTTGAAATGCAGGGATATAATGCACTACTGTCTGAAAGACTTGCAAGGGGCACGATTATCTCAATTCGATATCTGACGAAAAAGATGGTAGCGTATACCGAATTTCACCATTTGTGGCAACGGCAAGACAAAAGAGCAAGGAATTAATCCTTATTCTTATTCTTAAGATTCCAATGATGAGAAGTAGAGAAGTTATATGGTGAAATCTACGAAAACTCCCAATCGGTTTTTTTTATAGGCCAAAATACATAAAAACTATGTAAACATCTTTCGTTTATTAAGCTAAAAAATAACATTTTTGCTACATTTAATAAAATCTTTCTCGTTGTAATCTTACTAATATTATAAATGTGAAAGTTTGTGTGTTTGTTTGTTTATTTGTTTGTTTGTTTGTTTGAAGTTCAATCACGCATTAACTACTGGACGGATTGGGCTGAAATTTGGCATGATGATAGCTCACATTCCCGATTAACATATGGGCATATTCATATCTCAAAAATCTTTTCGGTCTCCGCCCCAGTGGCTCTGAAGATCCCCATGTTAACCTAATTCAACATACTAACACCATAGATAAAACATACTCCCTTAGTAGATTTCTCATCCTAATGGAACAGCTGAAGAAAATTTTATTGTTAGTTCTGTACGGTTTATGTTAGAGGTCGTGTTTTGTTTACAATTTGTTTCCCGTAAATACAGTCATTTAAAACCTCGTTTAACCAAATAATACGATAAAATCACAAACAATAAATTGTCCCCTAGTTATTTAACTAAACAGTAAAGCACAAATCAAGAAATTAACCCGAAAATAATAGAAACAAAATTTCGTCGACACTAGCGCCCAGTGTGGCGTACATGAACTAGACATGAAAAACGAGCTTCAAAATTTACAATGGGATGAGAAGTCTACTTGTGTTGGTTAGTCTATGCTAATACCCATCCATAATGGACCATCAATAATGGTCATGAGTATTCATATTTAAAGGGAATTAAAGAATGTAGTCAGCTGTTTCAACTGAAAAAGCTGGTTCTATGATTTTAAAAAGCTTTAAAAAGTTATAAGATTTACCAACAGGGTGCAGCACTATTATTTTTTTATCATTCATGAAAACAGCTAATTTGAACTAAGCAGCAGCAAAAAACTGTGATAAGCAATGAGAACTGTCAAAGAAGGATTGTTTACAGTTATGTTTATTTTTTGATTTCATGAATAATTTGTGACATTTAGCAAATTTTTATAATTTGTTTTTATCTATTGTTTAGGTGAAGTGGTAGAACATTATGACTATTGTAGACGTGTCATACTATAGTATACTGTAAATTTCAAGAAGAAAATTTTATCAAACTGTGTCTTCCCCCATTGCAAACGCAAAGCTTGAGTATAACTGGAATAATCATTTTATACTTATATGCCAACCCCGTACGAAGGACGGGTATGACTGCTAGTATCTTTTTATATATTAGAATCGCTTAACACCATTTTGGAGTGTCCAGAGATGGGATCGTATAAATGGGAGCTTAGGACGAATCCTAGAATTTTTGTAACCTCAGATAACAATATTAAATTTAAAATTACATAGGGGGTCTTGCTACCCTTCCCTTCACACATTCTTGGATAAACCTCTGGATGATGATAAATATGAAATTAACTATCTAGTAATTCATAATCATAATTCTAAGCCGAATTTTATGTTTTCCAAACTAACTACAGGTGCATTTTTGTATAGCATGCGTCGTTTAGGAGTTGTAAGCCGAAAACTGTTCAAATAATCAACCTTTTGTCCATGTTGATGAAAATATACCCACTTTGAAAAGCTATAGTGGCTAAACGGCTCGGCCGATTTTGACGTATTTAACATCAATCGACGCGGAATTAAATGCACTAAAAGACACCTTTGAACAACATTTTCCTTAGGATTCGTTATTTAGGAGTTTTAAGCGAAAAACTGAAAAAAGTGCAAAATTTGCATAGTTTTTCGACTCCCAAAACTTAAGCAGACGTCAGAATCCGTCGCAAACTCACAGGAGTCTTATTTGGGACTCCCAAAAGGTATTAAAACACTTTCCAGCTTTAGACGATTTTTTGGGGAGCATATGTCTAATTTGCCTGGGCTACAATGGTAAGGCCAAGAAATTTAGTATTTTCAACTTGCATAATTTCCTCATTATCTATGTAAATATTTATTTCCTCTTTAATTTCTCTTGTTTAGTGCAAAATCATTTGCAGTTAGTATTTTGAGTGTTCAAAATTGAATCGTGAGTAATAAAGAAATCTTTAATTTTTGCTAACTCCATTAAGGAGTGAATTTCTAATTCTATACCAGTTTTTGCAGACATTATAAGGTTTAAATCATCGGCGTACAAACAGAGCTGATTTTTGATAGAGTTTAATTTACTTAGGCAATTCAGCATATCACTTATGTAGCAGATAAATAATGATGGTCCAAGTATTGACCCTTGGTGTACTCCATATTTAACTTTTTCTGATGTTGACTGAAATTTAACCCATTTGCATCGGATGACGTACCAGTACGTCAAGTCAGTGATGTGCAGTATCGCGGCTGACATACTGGTTCGCCAGCCATGAAATCTAAAAATTTTTTTTTTTTTAATGAACCATTTGCACTTACAATATATACATATAATATTTAAATTTGTTCATAAAAATATTATGTTCCTTGAATGATTTCATATTTACGTAATACAGGCAGTTATTTAACAATTTTTATGAAAAGTATGAAAAATAGTGAAAACGTGTCCTAAATACATATACATATAAAATACATACATTTATATACATTATATGTTTTATATTATTTTAAGCAATAAAATACTATAAAGCATTATAAAAAATAGTCTAATATTTTTTCAGGCAGGTATATGCACATTTTTGTTGAGAAATGTATAAATTAGTGTAAACATATCCTAATCCTAAATACATATAAATATACATACAAAATTCAAAATAATATAAAAATATAAATTTTATTATGATTTTCAGCTATAAAATACTATAAATCATCATAAAAACTAGTCAAATGTATATTTTTTTATTTTTAATGTTTCAGTGATACTGGGATTTTTTGTAAATAAATAAGACGGTGCAAATGGGTTAATAACTTGATTTTTGTCAGTTTTTGATACTTCTACATATTGATCTCTATCAGTTAAGTATGATTCAAACCATTTTAAATACGAATTCCTGATTCCTAGGCTATTAAGTTTGTCAAACATTTTTGAGTGGGAAATACTGTCAAAGGCTTTTGATAAATCCATATAAATTCCGGTAAATTTCTCTTGCTTATCTAATGACTCTATGATTGATTCAACAAAACTTATTAAAGCAGTGGAAGTGGATTTATTTTTCCGAAAGCCATGTTGTTCGTGATTAAAAAGATTATATAGTTCTAGGTGTCTTAAGAGATTTAATTGCAATGCTTTTCAAAAAATTTTGATATCGATGGAAGAATAGAAATTGGTCTATAATTTTATTCAAGTAGGCATATAGGGATTTTATTCATATAGGGAATAAGCTATTACCATAGGTCTCATGGTAAGACCTGTACCCGGGACCGATTTCCTTTTTTGTTTTGAGGTCCCAAGAGGCCAAAAACACCATCCGTTCAATTCATGTACATATATATATATGTGTGTGTGTTTGTGTGTGTCCGTTAGCACGATAACTCGAGCAAAAATTATCCGATTTTAATGAAATTTGGTACAAACGTTTAAAACGAGTTTGCGGACCAGCATAATCGGACCATGGGAACATGGGTTGGTTTATGGGGTAAAAATGTGTGTTTTCCCATTTTTGACCCTAAAAAGAAAAAAAACTGCAATTTATCTCTAAACCATTGTATAGAGCTTAAAAAAAGAAATAATTTAGTATATTGAAGCGCTTTTGTATGCCTAACAGTCACAGAGAAAATTAAAAAAAAAGTGTAATTTAAAATTGCCATGTTATTTTTATAGAGAAAATGAAAACTGTTGTAGTTTACATGTTTATAGTTATATGTAGATAAAATTTGGCAAATTTATTTATTTCATTTTATAATATTGACGTATGGTCAAAAAACACTTTTTACCTTCCCCGTAGCAGCACACCTAAACACTGACTTGTTAAATCTAATGTTATTTAAATTGGGAATAAATATGTCTTATTTATAGAAATATTTTAGTAAAAATGTACAAGTTTAAATTCGCTTAGTCTGCAGGTTTGCTGCGGCAGGGGTATTAATGCTTTGTGTGTATTGCTTCTATAGCTACAATTATTTAATTTTAATACACATAAACTAGCCTTTTTTAGTTCGCTTTGCTAAATATTCCTGTTACCAGAAAAAAAAACTAAAAAAAAACTGTCTAAATTACTTTTTAATGTGGTGGATAAAAATTTCTGACACTGGATATAGTGGATATATTATTAGCTAATATACTGCACAAAAAATTACCATTGACATGTCTCTAAATATTATTATGATTGAAATTTAAATTTCTTTGTTTGTTTTAGAAGCACAAGACGATGATTTGTGGAGTGCTTTTGAAGATTGCGGATGCATTGAAAGTGTCCGTGTTGTTAGAGACATTAAAACTGGAATTGGAAAAGGTTTTGGTTATGTTAATTTTAAGGTAAGTTGAAGAATGAAAATATGGTTTTATTCTAGCTCAATCAAAACAGGTGTTTGCTTGGATTGATGGTTTTACTCGTACATCTTTTGTAACAATAAGATTAAACACATTATTTCATTTTACTTAAGACAATCTCTATTGTTCTTAAGTGTTCATGGATCTCTTAATTAGTAATGTAAATAACTACAGTATACAATTGTCAATATGCTCATTCATATTCAATTGTTTAAAAATGGTGATTTTTAAAACTTTGCAGGATTATATTTGTATCGTCTTTCCAACTAACAGCTGTTTTGCTATATAACAATGCAAGCGGCTATCGGAGATAGACTGCATCTTATATGAGATTTGTAACAATTAAAATTTTCGTTATAAAATATCCAGTAACTTACTGTAATTGAATTTTTAATAATAAGCTTTATGTATTAATACTAGGTGTGCAGTCTCAGTTCTGCCAATTGAGTGGAGGAGCGATCAAAAGAATAAACAAATAATCTTTTTTCCTAAATAATATTTGAATTAAAAAATAGCCCTGCTGCAGCAAACTTGCAGATTTCTATTTACCTAGCTGGATGTTTACTCAAATAATCCCTTAAAATTGTCAGATTTTTTCCTATTTAAATAACATAAATTTTAACACGTTCAGTGCGGGCTACATCTATTGATGTAGTTGCGCCACTCCCACTTCATTAGTTCAGTATGAGCTCAGCCATTGCCGGGGAACGTTATAATCGTTGCCAGCCTGTAGCTTAGATGCAAGCTTTATTCTGGTGTAGGTTGGTACTAAACTTTCCCGTAAAATCCCGTCTGGCAATGCTTTTGTCCTGGTTTCGGTTTCGATTTGCTACCACAGAGGTAATGAGGTGTTTTTTTGTATTAAAATGTCGATAGATTGGTATCAAAATGGCCAAATTTGATTAAAATATATCCATAAACAAGCTGACTACAGTTCATTTATCTATACTACAGGTCGCCCAGTGGTCATAAACTCGACCAAATATATGTAATGTACAGACTTCACTATTTTCACCCTATGCTGTAATTAAAACATGTGATTGAAATTTATTTCATTTGTTTTGATTTTCTGTTTATATGCCGTCGTTATTTTGTCACCTGGGCCCTGTTTCATAAAGATACTAGTCTAGTAATTACTAGTCTAGTAAATACTAGTCCCGTATTTACCTGTCCTACTAATTTGTGTTTCATAAACGTTTTTATACCGCTAGTAAATACTAGTGTATTTTACTAGTCACGTGACCAAAACTACTAGTCACGTGACCAACTAATGAAATAATGTTAATTACTTTACAAGGTAAACTTTCAAAACAAATTTCTAACCTCAATCACGGGTTTTCAAACCCTTTATAAAGGGTTTTAATTTTGTTTTCATTTGATACAAAAAGTAAATAGTTGTAGAAACGCAGTGTTTTCTTTTAATTAATAACTATATAGACACATAAGTAAAACAATCACACATTATTTATCAAACCGCTATTATGTTCATCAATGAGCCTGCCGACGCGCCGGCGCGGCGTCGCGTCACTGCAATCAACACGGTGATTGTAGTAGCCGGTTGTAGGCGAAACAATTGGGTGGAAGTTGATCTGTTGCTGCCGCATTCGCTGTGGTTTGTATAGTTTTTGTTTTATTCTGACATATAAAATTAAGCTTGCTCTAAGTAAAGAAAAGAAGGCTCAAATTTTGAATGTAATTAAATCGTCTAAGGACATTTTGTTTATTGGAACGGTTTCAAGTACCCTTACCTATGTTTTCAAATATTCGAATGCATAAGGATATTTGGGTTAAAAAACATTTGGTGATATTCTAATTTTGAGTCTACAAACCATGAATAATAAGCCTAAACGTTTATTGATGCAACGAATAATTGCAACGCCGTTACAAGCAATGGAGAAGTAGGTTTTCAAGTATAGTAAAACATGGCATAGGCGCTATTGCAGGGCGTAGCTCAGAGGTGGAGTTTTCGCTTCTAATGTGGTGGGTCCCTGGGTTCAAATCCGCACCACTCACTATACTTTTTGTTCCATTAATTAAACTTTTACATGTTTTTACATTAAATAACAGCTCTAATCAACATCTAATTTTTTATTACTTTGAATAACAAATTCAGAATACCAAAATGGATTAAAAGTAATGTTTTTATGATGAGCAGTTCAGTCCAACGCCCAAAAATCAAATATAGACCTACAAAATTGTTAGTAAATCACAGGGTTTTAGCTATTTAGGGAAGCAAATAATAAGCACCTTAAAAAATACAATGCAACTCCTCTTTAAAATTGTCTTACTATTATTTCCTATTAAAATGTCTTTAAATAAAACCGAGAGCCTTGGGTGTAAAATAATCTGATTAATGTTGCAATGTTGGATACATTTTTGTACATCTTTGTATGCAATATGGTATGCGGTTTTTTAATTTGGTTTATCTCAAAGATTAAAAATATTTTATCTGTGATAACTAAATAGTTGATATAACCATGAAATTTAACTCAAGTAAATTTAGACTAAAATTTCACAGAAATTGATAACTTATAATTATAATTATTCTAATAGGGCGATTTTACATACATTATAAAATTCAATTTCACTCATTTTGTACTTCGCCACATTTATTGATTGTAATTTACATCTAATAATTATAATTTTAGCACTCACAGATCTATTTTTATCTTAAATTGCAAACTTGAGACAATACGCACTTGAAAAAAGAATTCAATAATTCATTTTTTAAGTGATGTGTGTAATGAAATAACACTCTTTCCAAAAATACTAGTCTACTTCAAATAATACGGGTGTAGAGAGGTTGTTAGAAAATGACAAGTATTTACCAGTGTAATTTACAAGAGTAAATCTTTATGAAACACATTGCTGTCTACACTAGTAAAAACCACTAGTAATACTAGTCCCTACACTAGTAACTAGTATTTTACACTAGTAGGTTTTTGAAACGTAGACTTGTAAAATACACTATTATTACTAGTCCATGGACTAGTAAATACTAGACTAGTATTTTTATGAAACAGGGCCCTGCATTGCAACCCAAAACCCATGTTAGTTTTTCAAAATTTTAAATTTACTTTTTGTGATTATTTTTGAGTCTATTTAATTAATAAAGGGATTCTGCATGTATACGGGAAAATATCTTTATAAAGCTATGGCTCCAGAGGATGCGGAATCTCCGCCGTGCGGTGCAATTTTTTCCGCTGCGGAATTACGACACTGGTTTAATGGCGTTCCCATGTATGCGGTTCCACTGACGTGCGTTTCCGCATCCCAAATTTTCGGTTCCGCATGGCGGACAAATCATAATGGTCTGAGAGCAGTGGCAGTGCGGATTCCGCCAGCGGAGAAGAGCCATCAAATAATTATTGTGACCGATCAATTTAGTTTTCTAACTTAATTTTCAATAACCTTATTCTTTTTGGGGCTTGTATTTTTTATTCGTGTATCAATAAAACTACAATTTAAGTTCAAATTGATATTTTATTTATGTTTACTATCACCATCCTCATAAAAAATGAACAAGGTGATTTTTAAGAACTAGGTCTAACATCAGTTTATAATAAAAGTAACCACAATTCAAAATAATTCGGTTTGAATATTACCTAATATTATTTTATGGTATTTATGGTATTATATTTGTGTTCCATACTCGTCGCTAGTTTGGACAGAACTGAATTTCCCCAATGTTTTTTCCGCAGTCAGTGGAACCACCTCTCCAGATTTACGCTGCAGAAAATCACGCACTGCACGGCGGAAGTTCCGCAGTCTGTGGAACCATAGCTTAACAGTATGCGTAGATTTTCCCTGCGATTCACATGAGCTGAGAAAAAAGGTTTTCAAGAAACATGATTGTCTATTAATTTTATAGGATATGGTGTATAAAATCCAATGTATGTTTATGTTTTTCCTTTTATGCGTTACCAAACCGGCCACGTGATCGTGATGAAACTTTGAGAAGTTGTTCTATACACGCCCAAGAAGGTTTCTGACTTAGGGATGGTCAAGTCTCGAAATTTCGGGAAATTTTCGGGAAATTTTAAATCTCGTTACACGAGACGAGATTTCTTTTTGGCCGAGATTTTTATCGAGACGAGAATAAAAAAAAAAAAAAAAAAAAAAATTTAAAACGCCTGCAGAAAGTCAATGCAATACCCGCAATACAGGAGCGTGTTGTAGTTGCGTTTCCTTTGCGAAGGCGTTCTTATTTAATTAATTCTTTAAATGTATAAAAAGTCAAAACAAGTACCTAACTATTTTATAAAAATTAATATTGCTTTTATTTTATGATTTATTTTATTTTAGGATAAGTTGAACTCTATCCTAACTGATATCACTATGTTTTCTAATCGTAGGCATTTTTAGTAAGTTAGGCGTGATTAATAAAAAAATGTTATGCTGATGTTTTTTAATAAATGATTGTAAATATTCTTGCCTATTATCATTATTTTTGTATTTAAACAGTCATCTAACAATGTTACAAAATCAGGTAAAAATTTTGAACGTGCATTTCCCGTTGTGTATGAGAAGGGAAATCCCGTCTCGATCTCGTCTCGAAAGTTTATGAGAAATAAAAAATCTTGTCTCGTCTCGTCTCGAACTAAAAATCCAATCTCGTCCATCCCTACTGTCCCATTCCCATCCTTAAACCCCCTTGGAGCTCTGCCCGAGTGGCTCTGGAGTTTCTCATGTGTACCCTATGGGTATTCTTTATAAATAATCAACGGATATTGACAGCTGTTTTTATGGGAAAATAACATAAAAGTTACAATAACTTTGGAACCGTAATTCTTACGGAGATTGGATGTGTACCATTTAATCAAGAATTAAAAGACTAAACTTACTAAATTTTTATCAAAATCATTCAGGCCATTTTTGAGAAAATTTAGATTTTTCCATTATTTTATAAATTTAATTGGGAAAAAATCTAAATTTTGAAAAAATTAAAAAAATCCTGCAGATACCACGGATTAGTACCTACATACCAAATTTCATCAAAATTGGACTACAGGTGTGGTCTGAGGCCTAGCTCTGTACACATCCACATATACAGACACACACACACACACAGACATTACTTCGAAAACCACTTTTTTGTGTTCAGGGGGGCCCAAAATGAATTTATCCACTCAAAACTCAAACTCGAAAGTTTTGACAAAAACAATACTTTTGTTATATACTATGGTATAGTACTGGGAGAAAACCAAAATGTATGTTGGTTTTCAATTGTACAGGCATTATTAAATTGACATTTGTTTGTTAAAATAACATGCTCACTGTTTGTTGAAATAATCGTGGTAAGTTTGTATCAAAATGTTCAGCCGTCAATTGTGTGATACGACTGCACAGTTTGCATAAGGCCCCATCTCAAAGAACTTCGCTTAGTTATTATAAATATCTTAAGGCATTACATTATCAAATTCTTCAGTGATATTATATGAAAATGCTTATATCTATAATGAATCTCTGTAGTCTGAAGATGCCGTGGAGTTGGCTTTGAAATTAAATGGGACACCCATCTTGGACAGAAATATTAGAGTGAGCAGAGTAGCACAAATGAGCAGTGGCAAGTCCAGAAAAGACAATGCTATAAAGAGAGTGAAGAAAAAATTGAAGATCAAGAAAGAATACCACGCACCTTCATCCGAGCAAGATGAACATGGAAAGATTAAAGTTTGGGAAAAAGTCAAAACTCAAAATGACTATCAAGGCCAAAAAAGCAAACCATCGCATCAGAAGAAGGTAACTAACTATGCTTCACTAATCGCTACTTGTGCAATAAGAGCGACTGCATGTAACACTGAGCCATATCTTGGGTACAATTAAGTCACCAAGATATTAGTATTGGATGTATACAAATTTTAAAATAGAGGGTTTATACGCATATCTTGGAGTGATTTGTAAAATTGAGGTTTGTTACAGCAAGGTTAAACAATATTAAATTAAATATTAAATTAAATTGTTTAGTTTTACAAGTGATTTTTAGGCCATTAAGCACCATGCATATCACACACACTAAAGTAAAAGTTTGTCTGTTTTTTTGTATGGGGCTCAATCAAGAATTAACTACTGGTCGGATTGGGCTGAAATTTGGCATGATGATTGCGTGTATTATTCCCAATTAACATGTAAACCTATTCTTATCTTAAAATACTCAAAAATACTTTCAGGCTCCGCCTCAGTGGCTCTGGAGTTACCAGTGGCGGCAATAAGAGCCCGCGGGCCCCCCCGCAAGTTTGTTCACCGGGCCCCCTCCCAACAATCTTAAAAAATATTATATATAAAATATTATATCACATGTATTACAGCCTAAACTTGCACTTTAGCTTGGTACAGCGTCTCCCAAGGCGTCATCATCGTCTTCCATGATCGCGGCAAAATGACCTATGACATCATCAGATAACAACATTATCGTCTCCCGCGTTCACGGCCCAATCCCTAATATCTCCCGCCCCGAGACGTCTTCCGCAATCCGGCAAAATATTGAACGTCTCCTGCGGCCGCGGATACATCGGCATCGTCACTCGCGGGGAAATGCTCTCGTCGATATCCGCGATAGCGGCAAAAACGTAGGCCTAATCTTTCAATTTTGTGAGCGTGATCCTCATCGTGGACATAAAAGCTTTAATTTTAATTGGGCATTATTGTACTGAGAAAATCGGCTTGAGCTTGATTTTCTGACTTTGTGCTTGATCTCTCAAGCTTATATACAGGCTCTGCTCGGTCATTATATAAAAATCAACAGTTTCCAAAGCGAACCGCTCTGATTTGGCCCGAGGCCTATAAGTAAGTAAAATTTTTTACCTGACTCTAAGTAAACAAATCTAAAGTGCAGCCTCCTAATAGTAAGAAATGAAGTGAAATGAAAATCCTTCTTTAGCGTCAATGAAAGAATGGAATTATTTATTAGTTAGTGCATCAGGCATCTAGGTTAATTCGCCGATTTGATCGTAAAAAATTGTCAAGTTCATTAAGTTAAATCAGCATTGAGGGCCCTCTCTGGTGTGCCCCACCGGGGCCTAGGAGGATTAACATTAATGTTTTATCCTCCTAGGCCGGGGACACATTGGTTCTAAATACGGCCCTATTATAAATAGCGTCTTCACGCAGTCCATGAGGACTGTTGATGCAACCTGCATGACTGATGACAATTCTTTTACTTAGGTTGGTAGAGAGTTTATATCGATCAGCCAAATAATAGTGTCAGTTAAGCTGTTGTAAACTACTTGTCCTAGTGCCTCTTACTGGGCTTAACAAATTTTCTGCATAAAAAAACGTATGGTAATTTCCATATAAATATTGTTATGATAGGGGGCCCGTGTGGCTTAGCCAGTCACACAATTGCGGGCCCGTGTCCCGGTAAAATTTCCCGAAAAATCCCGGTCAGGGCTCACGGGCCCCCCCACACCGCGGGCCCGCTATCGCCGCCGCTGGGAGTTACCCATGTTAACCATGCATATTCATATTTAAAAGGCATTAAAGAATCTTCACAGCTGTTTCAACTGAACAAATTTGTTCTATGATGTTCAATAGCATTAAAAAGATGCAAGAGAAGGTGTGTGCATGCGCATCCCTCTCCAATCCAAAAAGCCAAAGTGTGCTTGGCTCTACAGCTGAGCGGTAGGTAGGGTGTCACCTATTCAACTTATTGATGTTCCCACGATTTGTTCATTATTCTCCGTTCTCTCAAACTCTCTACACTTTAACCTGGGACCTCCATAGTTCGAATTTTATCTATTCTGACCTCTATCATTCAAACTCTCTTTCAAACTTCCTATAATTCGAAATATATAGTCTTTCCTCTGAAATTCGAATTAGCGGGGTTCTACTGTATAAAGAGTGCCACAAATTCACGATTATAAGCTGTGACATTATAAGGTAGTAGAATTCACGCTTTTCATACAACAGATCTATAGAACATAATTATTCTCTTTATCATTTTCTTCCCATTGCTAAGCATGGTTATGGCGGTTGGTATATTCTATATATACAGGGTGAATTTTAAATGAGTTCCCCCCCTACTTTTTTTTACATTTCTTAAGATATCAACTTCGGACCACGTCAGATCATTGTAGTGTAGTAATTACTTCATTTTGATAGGGTAAACATTTTTGGCCGCCATCTTGGATCCACCATATTGGATACAAAATTTTGTTTTCAAATGTAAAGGTAGGGTTGTGACCTATTGTTTCAAACTAGAATTTTACGCTCATTACAATGCCGCAATTAGTTTTAAAAAATTTTGATCCGTTCTAAAGTTATGAGGACGTTTTATATCTTCATTTTTAGCCCATTTTAACATTGTGCATTTACAAACTAAGACCATAATCTCAAAATAGTGCTAGATAAAGATTAGTATACACCACCATTCATTGTCGACCTATTATCACTTGCTTATGACGGATGTATTTTTTTCGGCCGCCATCTTGGATCTGCCATTTGAAATGTGATAAATTAATTTAAAATGAAGGTGGTGTTGTGACCCATCATTTTGAACTACTTTTTTATGCTGAACTCAATGCCGCAATCCGTTTTTGTCTCTCAGGCTTTCTTGATGAAATATTAAAATTATCTTACTTAAATTTCCAATATTTCTAAACACAAATTTGAAAATGCAAAACAGATTGCGGCATTGAATTCAGTATAAAAAAGTAGTCTAAAATGAAAGGTCACAACACCACCTTCATATTTAAATTAATTTGTCACATTTCAAAATGGCAGATCCAAGATGGCGGCCGAAAAAAATACATCCGTCATAATCAAGTGATAATAGGTCGACAATAAATGGTGGTGTATACTTATCTTTATCTAGCACTATTTTGAGATTATGGTCTTAGTTTGTAAATGCACAATGATAAAATGGGCTAAAAATAAAGATATAAAACGTCCTCATAACTTTAGAACGGATCAAGATTTTTAAAAACTAATTGCGGCATTGTAATTAGCGTAAAATTCTAGTTTGAAACAATAGGTCACAACCCTACCTTTACATTTGAAAAAAAAATTTTGTATCCAATATGGCGGATCCAAGATGGCGGAAAAAAATGTTTACCCTATCAAAATGAAGTAATTACTACACTACAATGATCTGACGTGGTCCGAAGTTGATATCTTAAGAAATGTAGAAAAAAGTAGGGGGGGAACTCATTTAAAATTCACCCTGTATATAAAACAAAGTTATGTTAGTTACACCACTTATAACTCAAGAACGGCTGTACTGATTTTAATAATTTTTGCTTTGTTGGATTTGTCTTTGTCTCGATTAACATTTAGGCATATTCAGTTTTGAATTTAACCTCAGGGCTAAGCCCCACTGGCCTGTAAAGTTTGTATGTTAAGCTTATGTTATGTATGTTGTTACTGTTGGAAGAATGTAAATAAACAAATATATTAATTGAAGTTATTTAACTAGATGGTTGCTTTCAAAAACTAAATGAAAAAATTCATATTTTTAAACATTTAGGTGACTATTTACACTATTATTTGTTTTCATCCAATTTACAAACTAAATTTCAATTATACTACCATTTCTTTGTCCAGGTAGCTACTACTTATATTTTCTTCTATTATTTACTAAAAATACCAAAGTCTACTACTGTATTTGTTTGCTATTGTAAAATCTAGCCTTTTTGAACTGTATTTCATGAGTGATTTCAATTGAGTGTCCTGATGGTAAAATACTTAATTTCACATAACTTGCACTTCACATTACCGTAGCTTTTTTCACATTTAGAGAAAAGTTTTTCTACAACACTGCTTTAATTTTACTATGGAGAATATCACAATACTAAGCTGTACGCAATTCACTTTTGCTTCTAAAATCAATTAAATATTTGTAAGTATATTCCTTTACTCAATGGTTAGCGTGTAAATTAATGTAAATACTATGAACTAAGGAACGATTAAAAAAAAGAACTGGTTTGTAATACGTTGTTGATTTCTTATCATACTCTTTTCATTACTTATTATAGTTTGTGTAGTATTATACAAATTGATAAAATTTGTGCCCTGATTTACGATAATAGGGGATGGCTTTCTTACAAAATGTAATACAAGTTTTCCGTCATTTAATTTGGCTTACTGTAATATTTACATAATGAGCTGCAGGTAATGATTCCTGACACTGGTTCAGTAGGTAGGGTACAACATAGGCCTATCTATTTTATGTGAAATCATAGTACAGTGTGTAAATTAAGTATCAAAACAAATCTGTATTTTTTAAACTGAAATAGATAGAAATATTCAGTTTGAGGCATTGATTGTAAACAAAGGTTATGCAATTTTTTACAGGATACCGTAGGGGGTGACTTTTTTTTCAAATAGCAACCCTTATTGAGTGACTCCTCATTTTGAAGGGTTTGTCAAAAGAAACACAATGACACAAACCCAATGTGAATATCTCTCCCTTAGCCAAAATGGCGGATATTCCAAAATGGATGCTTTTTCACATAGCTCAAATTTTGGAATACCCGCCATTTATGCTAGGGGTGAAATATCTACCTTGGGTTTGCGTCATTGTATTTCTTTTGACAAACCCTTAAAAATGAGGGGCCACTCAATAGGGGTTGTTATTTTAAATAAATGGTATCATCAATCTGACAAATACTTTCTCCCATTAGCTTGTCAACAACCTTTATCATGGGTAGGCGTTACCTGATATTTTATAGGAACAATCACAGAAGTCGCGAAACTTTTAAACCGTAAATTTTACAGCAATGGTGGGTTGCACTATACTGTTTAGA